TGCATAACACCCAGTGCTCCATGCAGAACGTGCCCTCCTCAATACCCACCACCAGGCTAACCCATCCTCCCACCCCCCTCCCCTCTAGCCCCCAGTTTGTTTTTCAGAGTCCATCGTCTCTCATGGTTCGTCTACCCCTCCGATTTCCCCCGCTTCATTCTTCCCCTCCCGCTACCTTCTTCTTCTCCTTTTTTTTTTTCTTAACATATATTGTGCCTGTTTCTTATACAGAGAGAATTAGTTTATTAGTTAGGGAACAAAAGTATAAAACATGCAACAGAAGAAATTATATATATATAAATGATAAGAACAAATACTTGATACAAAAATTTCAACTTCTTCCCAGGAAATTCCAGGATATTTTATGAATGACCTTGCAATCACTTCATCCACCTTGAAGAAGGGACCTTCTCCAGTGTGAAAGGCAGTAGCCTCTTTGTATTTCAAAATCACCCCACTGCCTATTAGGGCAAGAGGTGAAAAATACCTTAAAGTCTGGGGAAGATTGGAATAAGAAAGAAGGTAATTTTCATGGATATAGAATATGGAATGAGCAGAGTTGACATCTCCACTTATATAAGAAGTGCTATGAGATCACTGATGACTGGGAGGGGCAGGACCTCTGCTAATCCTCATCTGAAAGACGTCAAGCAGAGTACATTTTCCCATGATACCATTCTGACATTTGGGGTCAATCCTTTCTCCAAGTGAAAAAAAGTCACTTGCATAAATGCGACTTCAGTAGCACCTTGACAGTCCCTGGAAATCATCCAAATGAGTGCCAATTAAATGTGGTGAAGTCACCTTGTTAGACATTTATGGTGCAGGGCTGCTCCAAGATGTCTTTGTGGTGGGGTGCACTACTCATAGTTGAGTGCTGGTGAGAAGTATGTGAGTGATGCTCCCATCACAGAACAAGCAGCATGGTCTAAGAACATGGCTTCTGAGACAAACACAATATGGCTTTATTCTCAACCTGTCATTTTGGAAGTTGAGTTACTTAGCTTTTTTGAGTCTTGGTTTCCTCATCTATGAAATGGGGATGATCATACCTTCCTCATACAGTTTTTGCAAGGATTAAATGAGATAGGGCTGTTTTAAATACCTGATGATTATTATGTGGGGTTTTTTTTTTTTTTTGCTTCCTCTATCTCTCCCATCCTATCCCCCATTAACATCTCATACCAAACTCTGGGGTTTTTTTTTTAGGACTTGCCTTTGAAAATTGTGCATGATCACTGACGCTATTTTTTCCCCCATGGATTTTGCACATCAGTAAGGAAAATGAAAGTGAAATCATTTCTCAGTTTCCTTCACACTAATGTTCAGTTATCCAGAGGGTGTCATATCACCAAATGTCAGTAAAAATAATAATATATAATGCATAATATATAGTATGTAATATATAATATATGATTTCATCTATCTATCTCCTGGCTTTTTAATGATAGCAAATTTGTCAGCTTCATTTTTTAACTGCATTTTCCAAATGTCCAAAATATCATCTTTTGCTCCTCTTCTGAAGAAATCATCTCCTCTCCATGTGACTATGAAATTTTTAAAAGGACCATACCTCCCCCCCACCCCACCCAAATCATACTCCTTTCTATGTGCTATTCTACAGAATAAGAATTCCCAGGGGTTACTTTCAAAACTTACATGTGCTGATGAATCTCATTAAACATGTTCTCCTTCCTCTAGAAAGATATCTACATCTATGGTGATAATCTTCAGATAACATTTATAAGATAGGAAGCATTTATATGAAATTTACCTCTGGAGAATTGGGTCCCTACGTTCCCCATTCCTCTCTTAGATGAGGCTGTTATAAGACCACATCAGAGGTATCACACATGGCCTCATGGGTCACTGCAAGGCCTTGGCTTTTTCTCTGAGGGAAATGGGAAGTGAGTGGTGAGTTTTGAGCACATGAGAGACCTAATCTGACTTAGTTGTGCTGATGGCGCTTTCATCACTATATCTGAATAGATTGTAGTAGAGCAAAGGCAGAAAAGAGAGGAGAGCAGTTGAGAAGGAGATGGTGGTGATTTGGACCAGGACGGTAGCAGGAGAGATGGTGATATGTCCAGATTCTGGTCACATTTTGAAAGTCGAACCAAAAAGCTGTCCCAGTAGGCTGGAAGTGTAGTGTGAGATGAAGAAAGCAGTCAAGGATGATTATAAGGTTCTTAGCCTGAGCAAATGGATAGATGGAGTTGCCATCAGCTGAGAGAGGGAAGGGTGTCAGAACAGCTGGTTCAGGGTGGTAGATGAGGGCTCTAGTTTGAGACATGTTAAGCTTGAGCTGTCTATTAGACATCCAAGTGGAGAAGGCAAACAGGCAATTAGATATGCAATTCTGGACTACAGGAGAGAGGTCTGGTCTGGTGATAGAAGACCCTTACTATGTGCCCCTTAATATTTGTAAGAGGCTTAGAGCAATATCAGATTCCTAGTAAGAAAGTAAGCAACGGTCATCATTAATATAATTCCTTTAACCATGTCATTCAAATTGTCCAATATAACTACTGCCTACTATATGTATTTATATTCTGAACTAACAATTAAAGAAATTTACACAGTAATCCTTTCTTACTTTTCAGGTTTATCACTGCCTTGTCCCCATGCTACCCTTTGATGGGAAATTCCCCATTTTTCAAGTGCATTTTGTGGGGAGGGCATTAAAGTTCAAAATAAAGATTAAAACAACACTATGTGTGCTATAGTCAGTATAATTCTGGACAATGTCCTCTGAGCACAAAATGTTTGGCAGTAGGAGAAGTCATATAGAATGATGGTTAAGATAGCTGATTCTAGCATTGAAATTAACTCATATTCTAACACATCACTTTGAATAAGTTTCTAATGTCTCACTTCTCCAATTCTCCATCTGTAAAATTGAGATCAGTGGAATTATGGAGAATATTAAATGGGGTAATAGATATAAAGTGCTTAGCACAATACCAGATACAAGTAAGTTCTTATAATTTTCAGCTATTATGATGATAAGCAACTTTACTTTGTGTTTTCAGTTGTAACTAAGACTAAAATCTCTCCTATGGCTTTTCATTTACCATAGACTTTTCATTGAATACCTATTTCAATATATCACTTAAAACTTACAAGACTTAGTCTCAAGGCATTAGGCCAAAGGAAAGAAAAAGACATTAAGAGCAGAAATAGGAGTCTGATCCAACATGTTATTGGCACCTTCATCCCCTGCTTGTCTCCCCACCCACCCCCAGCACCTTGCCCGTATTGGTAATTAAACTGAAGGAACTGACTCAAAAGAAACACACTAAACTTCCCTCTTCCCTCTTATGTTATTTTAATTGTGTATATTTTGTTTTTAAGCATGGTTCTTTGGGGGAAAACACAATGTGTCTACTATAGAAAAACACATATTCTTTTAGGCAAGTAATTTTAGAAGCAAAAGACGGTCTCCAGGGTAAGAAGATGGAAAAGGAGTGGTATTAGCAGAAGATGGCACAGAATGAATGCACATTTTATAGTGTAAAAGAAAGATATTTTAGCCTCCCTGCCTAAAACAACACTGTGCACTATCAGTTATGCTGAATTGTTGAATAGAATAAAACAGAACCAGCTACAATATGACTGCTTAGAGTGAAAGTCAATAGTCAACTCCTAGGGAGCATCTCGCACTCATGACACACAGATGCTTAATTGGTCCTCCTATGGTTTGGAAGAGAGGCCTTGAAAATACTTCTGACTTCTTTGAAGCAAATTTATAGACATATAACAGTGCTTTAATCCTTGCATCCTGGAATTGCCAAGGTAATAGAATATCAGTGGATAAAAGCCTAGTAAGACAATGATCATCTGATATTCCAACTCTGTGCCAGGCCAATTTGGGATTTCAATCATTTCCATTCTCTGCACCCTGAACTCCCTTCACACAATGTCTAAAGGGTGTATTTTTCCTTCACATTTTTTTCCATATTGTCTCCTGATTTCTTTCTTTCTCTCTCTTTCTTCCTTCCTTCCTTTTTCTTTCTTTCTTTCTTTCTTTTCTTTCTTTCTTTCTCTTTCTTTCTTTCTCTTCTTCTCTTTCTTTCTTTCCTTCCTTTCTTTTTCTTTCTTTCTTTCTTTCTTTCTTTCTTTCTTTCTTTCTTTTCTTTCTTCTTTCTCCTCTATATGTCTGAATCTCTACCATGGTATTTTTGGGGTTAACTTCATGCATCCCTTTTTACTTGTTATGATCTAAATTTCTTGAGATCATCTACTCTTGCTCTGGACTCTGCTTCACTCTCTGTAGATGGTGCTTCTCTTATACACCTCTCTTTTCCTGTTCATTTACATAGTCTTACATCATAAAACAGTGCTATTCTTACTATGATCTCTAAAGAAATGAGAAGACATCCATAAAAATTATCATGAAATGATAAATTCTATTTAAAAACTAGGCATGCCAGAACACAAATATCTGTAGGAGTGTTGCCCCTTTTTGAAAAGTTGCAGTGATATTCACAAATGATGATATATCCCAAAATGACATTGGAATTAATTTTGGAACCGCTTTACGATCTTCACAAGAAAATCACCATATTACCTTACCTTAGCTTCATATTTTACCCAGATTAGTATTACTCACCTAATTCACCAGACTGATGCCAAATTCCCTTTGATAGCTTCCAGAGTTCATAGCCTTCCCACTTCTATGAAGGATTTTCAAAAGGAACATATCCTGAAGACAAGTCTGAAGGAGAATTACAAAATTGTTTTTGAGTAATGGAAGCATAATTAAAATGTCTTAGTTCCCAAGTACTTTAGAAGGGAAAACTCCCTTTTAGGTAAGGGTAAATTCCCTTATTTCTGGTAACACATTGCATTTACTATTTTATAGTTACATCATAAGAGCCAACTCAAAAGTTCTGTTACTTTAATTATGTTTCAGTACACAGTGCACTTAGAACTTTTAATCTGTATATATGGAAGATACACTCTTGATAATAACAGTGTGTCTGTCTTATTGTCTCTAGGACTATACTTGATAAAAAGGAACTACTAGAGTTTGCTCAACTTGGCTGTTACTTGGAATATGATCTCTTTGGGACCGAACTCCTTCATTACCAATTCAACCCGGATATCGACATGCCCAATGATAATAAAAGAATTAGAAGGTAAATATGATGAAATCTCTGAGAGCATTCCCTTTTACCAGCCCTTTTTGATTCATATCTAGGCGGGTATTAGCAAAGATTCAGAACACAGTATGCAGGCGGAACGAGAAACTTTCAGAAAAAAAGTATCAGTGCTGTTGCAGGCAGAAAATCTCTATATATTATTTCAAGAAGCAAATGAGTCATCCTAAGTAGGCAAAAGCTTAGCAGAGCCTTAGAAGTTCAGTGCAGATGGGCAGCTGACAAGAAACAGATAATACTTAACCCCTGCCATGACAATAAGAGAACAAAGATGTTTTCCTCTTTTTATCCTTAATCAAGTAAGCTGTTTCTTTCCCATGTTGCCCACACTGAAGCCCTCACCTCCTACAATGAATTTCTGAAATGCTTTATAAAAAATATTCACTACGGAGATGATTGAAACTTAAATGCTGTAAGTCGAATGTCTAAAGATGAAACATCATAGAAGATCTAACCCCTCAAAACTGTCTAAGCGAGTAATTGTACGAGTCATTCTCTGCAACCAAGTGGAAAATTTTTGGAGTCAAGGGTGGATGGCTACCGGTTTGTTTTGGTTATGTGGTGATGTGAACCCTGAATGCACCAAGTTAGGGAATCTGGGAGGAGAAACAGATTTGGGATTCACAAGGATGCCTGGCTTGGGAGCATCTAAGAGTTGCTATCCAGTGAAGCCATGGATAAGGGCATGAAGCTCAGGGCAGAGATCTGGACTCAGACATAAATGTGGGCATCTTCGGTCTGTATGTCATGGTTGGCAGCATGGGAATGAATGAGATCACTCAGAGAAGAGAATGAGGACAGAACCCTGGGGAACACTGATATTTAAGGAATGGACTCAGGAAGAGTCACTCAAGGACAGATTGAAAAGTTTTCAAAGTGAGAAGAATATCAGGGAAACGTGTTGTGGTGGGAGTCGGTGTGGGAGAATGCTTAAAGCAGAAGGGCTTGGACACCTGAGAGGTAGCAGGCATCAAGTGAGGTAAAGGCTGAAAGTGTCCACTGGATTTCATAGGCTGGAGATTCTCTTGCACAGTCAGGAAGTACAGTCTCCATAGACAAGGCTTGAGGAGTAAGGAGGGGGTAAGGAAGAGGAGAGAGAATGTGGAGGGTACTCTTTCAAGAAGCTTGGTAGTAAAGGGAAGCAGGGGTGTAGGGCCAAAGCAAGAAGCCACGGCAGGATCAAGGGAAGGTTTTGTTAAGAGTTGAGCAATGTTTATGTGCCTGAGAGCAAAAGCAGAGAGACAGAGACAGAGGCAGAGACAAATCCCGGGAAGCAGTACTCATTCTACAGCGCTGTTATGGAATGTATATGAAATAAAGTATGCAGAGTTTTTATGTGAGTATCTGGTGCAGGATATGAAAATAGTCAATCGATGCTAACTTAAAGCAATCTGCAGAGAGGAGCTACAGAACAAGGCTTTAAGGAGACTAACAGATGGAATCTGGGAAGCAAACAGAAAGTCGGTTGAAAGGGTAAGGCAAGCAATGGGGTGAATGCAGAGAGATGTCGTGGCAAGAACAGGAAACTGAGGACATATGGCCACCCATGTTCGGTAGTGTCCCTGTGAAGTAGACTTGGTTATCTTCTGAGAAGGAAGGAACAGATTCAGGGCAGGACCTCATAGAAGAGGAGGGAGGCTGGGAATGGATGCTGAGGGAATGTGAGAGACACTGATGGGACGTGTCGTGTATGAGACCCACGTGAGGCTCAAGGTCATGACTGCATGACTGCACAGTGGCACCAATGCACATGATGTGGTGATTATTTCCACCCAAAATGTTGTGTATTTTGGCAGTAAGACCAAGGAAGCTTTGAGGAGAAGCAGAAAATGTCAACAGAGAGAGGGTTGGGATTCTGTCTTTGAAAACATGGCTGACAACTGGGGGAACAGGGGTGGGGTTGAGTGAGGGTCATGAGGTCTAAGATGGAGGAAAGAAGGTATAGAGAAAAATGGGAAGATAAAGGAATAATATAGCAGAGGTGAATAACCGGAAGCTTGAGTGAAGTGGGAGAATGTACACAGAAGGAGGTGAGTGAAAAGGTAGAAGGATGTAACTTGGGGTCAGAGTGGGCAACTGAAGATCGAGATTTCAGAGAGGAAGTAGTCTTCCGTGATGACAAGGCCCAGAAAGTGGTTATGGGTGTAGAAAACCATTTGGAATACAAGTAAAGAAAACTGACCTACAGAAGGGATGTCCAGAAACTGAGGCTCAAGCAGCAATAGTAGGACATATACACACTCGGGAGTTGAGGGAAAGATCTAGAGCCGGTGGCCACAGTTGGGACAGCCCTCAGCTCTTACCCTGGGCAGTCAACCTTTACATCTGTGTGCCTTCTGCTGTCCCTGTGTATGGTCACTCCTCCTTGATGGTTTGAGTTTAATATCCTCAGGGAGAGCTAGCTGATCCATGTAACTCTAGCTATGTCAATATGGAGATGCTCAGCCGTATGTGAGCAAATTGATCTGACCAGTGAAGCTAGGGCTTTTAAAAATTTTTTTACACCACTGAAATCAATTCTTTGATACACTGATTTATTGTTTCTTTTTTGTTTGTTCATTTTGTGTTATGATTTTAACTTACGTGCCCTAGGAGCACCATTCAGTAGAGGCAAACACGTGTCCCTATGGCCCCTGTGCCATACTCAGAGGTGAATATTCTCTGGAATTTAAAGTCGGTGGTTTGGTAGGGCTTTCTCATCTTTCATGATCTCAAAACCATGGTTTCCTGAGGAATGCCCTCAATACACGTTTTATAACTCATCTTAGAAATAGGAAGTTTGCTTTTAGGACCTGCTTCCTTTTCCTAAGCCCCTCTGTGGCAGTGAGCTGTATCTTTTGTATCTTTAGAAGGAATCCTATGCCATCCATGAGGCTCCTGGACCTTGAATAAGAGAGAGGGGTCTGCAGAGGGGTCTGGGAAGGAAATATGGGCGGGGAGGGACAACCGACACCTCATCTCATATTCCTTCTTAGCAACTTTTGGCTATTAATTCAAGAACAAGAATTTCATTCTGATCAGCTTTCCTTGAACCAAATGTAAACATTCCAGATGTATTTCTATACATCAAAATATATATGTAATATATGTGTGTTTATGTATGTCTATGTATGTATATATACTTAACTGTCCTTAAATGAAAATCATGCATTAGGTCACTTGACTTAAGTCCAGCTCACGGTAATTACTGAATGACCTTTCGGGAGGGGGTGTGCTCCGGTACCCCCCTGCCCTCCCTCCTTTGGGCACCTGATTTTCATCATCCATTGGCAGGCCTTTTCTGAGCCTTAGTCATCTTACAGCTCTGAACTGCAAGAACATAGAAGCACGCTTCTGCCTACCTCTGGTTTTCAGCACCAGAAATTCTGTGTCTAACACCTGTTTTCAATCTTATGCTCCATTTCTCAAATCTTATTATATCTCTGCCTTTTCACACTTTGTAGTCTCTCTCTAATATTTGTTTGCAAAACACTAACTCATTTGTATTTCTATAATTACTGTCATATTTGTCTTTTCATCTACAGTGGTTCCTTCCTTCTGCCGGCATCTCTGGAACTACTGTTCTTCCATACAATGGCAGGGCACGAGAGAGGAGCTTTTATTCTAAGAGTGGCCAAGCTAGGGCGCCTGGGTGGCTCAGTCGGTTGGCTGTCTGCCTTCGGCTCAGGTCATGATCGCGCAGTCCTGGGATCCATATCCCATATCGGGCTCCCTGCTCAACAGGAGTCTGCTTCTCCCTCTCCCTCTGCCCGTCCCCTCTGCTCATGCTCTCTCTCTCTCTCAAATAAATAAATCTTAAAAAAAAAAAAAACTCTTTAAAAAAAAAAAGAGTGGCCAAGTTATATCTTGATAGTCAGGAGATAATTATGTTTGCAGCACCATGGCAGTATCTTTCTCATGAGAGAACTAGTCTCCAGTTCTAAGGGTTCTCCTTTTTCAATGAGTATCTTATCCATTATACTCTTTCCTTACTACTTCACAATTCGATAACTTTGGGTTTCAGGGTATGGCACGAGGTCACATATGGGAATTTGTTTATCCATCTGTAATAACATGACATCATTTTTTTTTTTTTTACTCAGACAAGGAAAGAGACAAAAACTTTGGGAAATGCTCAGGAAATATAAGGGGGGGAGGTGTACCCTAAAATTTCTGGGAATGTGATACTCCTTTTCATTTGGTGATCAAGGTTTGTTAAACTAAGTTCCAGCAATGCATATGCATTCTGTCAAATCTTCCTCTTTTTTCATAAATGATGACATAACTCACTTAGAGCATTCCCTTAAGGAGAGTCTGTTCCAAAAGTAACGTCAGATCAGAGCTTTTGGACACTATACAAATTTTAAAGAGGTAAATATCCACGGCGGCACAAACAGAAGTCCGAGTACTTACAGGACACACGTGGGTACATGTGACATGAACACAGATTTCTAGACAAAAAGGCTCAGGGTGGCTTTTCTCTGGCACTTGCTTTCCTTTGATCTACAAACACAAGATCTCATCTTCAATTATAATTTTATTTTAAAACGTGTGTTCTCGGACGGCAAGGCTTTGTGCTTGAGGTTTTTGTGCGGTGGCCCACAATGTGCTTATTTTAGTCATTATTAAATATGACTCATGCACTGGATGGCAAGAAATGTCACAGAAGCAAAAAGGATACCTTTTAAATAATTAGCCCTTGGAAGAAGGTGCTGTCCAACCATCTAGATTCATTTGGGAATCCGGAGACTGACAAGACTGTGTAGAGAATGCCAGAGAAAAGCATTGTCTCCAAGTTGCACCTCCTGCCATCAGCGACTGGTGGAAGTCACGACGGACAGTGCCCAGAGTCCAGACACACACAGATGGTAGCTGTCAGGAGGTGACTCACACTGTAGGTTACAGCATTTAACAAAGCAAAGAGGATTAGATGTTTAGGCAGAAGTTGGAAAGCCATTCTGTAGGCAACTGGCTATAAATTTAAAGGAACAGCTCAATAT